GGACAGAGGCTGAAGATACTGCACTGTGGCTAGGGACTATATTGCTTAGAAGGAACTGTACGCTGCTAGCAGGTACAGATCCTGGTGTCATGATTACCTCCCTTCTTTCTATGGGCTTTCATGTCATCAGTTTATAAGGGCACCCTCAGCACATTGCTGATACACAGAATTACGAGTGCAGGAGATTTTCTTGACATTTAGGGAACGCTCCTGCTGGCACTTCACCGTAGCTGTGTAGATCCTTCGTATTTTTGTTGTCACATGAAGAGCACAGAGCATACCATCCCTACTATTCAAGAAGAAAAGCTCTCCTGGCCTGGGACTTAGGAGTAGTGTTTGGCACAATGAGACCGTGACTTTTCCAGAGACCGCTGCCGTTATGACAGTAAATACAGTAGCAAATAATAATAGTGGCAGATATATTCCACTCTTAGAAATGTGTGACTGGCATACTGGAGATACCAAGTTACATTTGGATTCTAAAAATGCAATGCTGGAGACGATTATGTAAAAATACGTATAGGTTGCTAAGTCTTGTTATTGGCTAAATTAAACCTACCAATACAGCTATAATCATGCAAAGCTAAAACTTACTTTGATTTTTAATTAACCCAAGTTTTCCATATTCTTATTTCCCTTGCTGTCTTCTGCCAAAGGTGGAAATTTTTCTTTCCCACTTACAAACTGGAGTACTGGCCCCACAGATACAATCCTGCTCCCATGGTCTGTGTTTAAGAAGTCATTTGCCTTAGATCAGCAGCCTGACTTTCCAAAGATGGCAAGCAGCTCAGCTACCATGTTAGAAATATACCTGGAAAAGTGTTCAGCAGTATTTTTAGAAATGCTAGGTAGCAGAAGTAAGTAATCTGTGGATTGTTTGCACCATTTTAACAGATCTCTCATCGAAGCCCATAATGGAACAAAACCTGCCTTTCTGGGGTCGGAGCTTTTGTTGCAGCATTGATTAGCAGCAGCTTAGAACGTGCGTTTCAGTGAAGTATACAGCAGATCATGCAAATTATTACCGTTACTAAAAACACCAAAAGCCATTGCCAGAGACGCAGACCCCACTGTGCCGGGCACTGTAATAACTCAAAATAAAAAGACTGTGTCTGTCTTACTCCACCCTACCCAATTCTGCCTCCCCTAGCAGTGAGATTGCTAAGTGTAGGTGGCACATCGTAGCCAAGAGAGATGATGTCCTACTCACTCTCTTCAGATACAAGCGCCACCAATGCTGCTATTTCTTTTTTTTTTTCCCTTTGAAAGGCCCATTGCAGGAATTATGTGGAATGTGTCCCTTTTGTGATCTGTGACCACCTGGGAAAAGCTTCTCCGGAATAAAGCACCATGGAAAAGCATTTAGGTTTCCATAGTAACTGCATTTACCTATTTACCCTGTATCCAAAATTGTACAGTACGTCTGCACCTCCTTATCAGCTCCACTTGAGGTAGCAGAGTACAGCTAGGGTCAGGGCTTCAGCTATCGGTGCACCAGCAGTTTAATGTAACAGCCGTAGGGCTCCAGTACGCCAACATTACACCTCTGACCACATCCAGAGGGCATGGCAAGCCAGTCTGGGACAGGCGTCCAATTTTGATTTTGAACACATCGGGGAGTCTGTCTTGCCGGATTTCTGAGACAAATCTGGGTGTGTGTCAGGCTGGCAGCACATCCACTATAAACAGTTCAGGTTACACCCCCTCTACCTCTGTATAGCTCGCAATTATATAATCGTGTGCCCACATTTCTAGGAAAGCCTGTGAGCCTGTAAAAATCCTGTATAGAAATGCATCTAATATTTAAACATCCTAAAATATTCTCTTTCTGCTTATACCTCATCGCAGTATTTGGTTTTGAAATAACTGCTTAAATTTTTTTAATTGGAAGAAAATCTTCACTACTTTTTTGGGTTTTTTTCAAAGAACATGAAATAACAAATAAGGTCAAATCCAGGCACTATGAAGACAAAACTCCCACTGAAGTGACTAAACTTCCACAGAAGTCAATAGCAATTTTACATGGAAAGGGACTTCAGGACCTGTCCCACTGCAATGAAGGGCCTGATCTGACGGGTTCTGAGCTCACAGTCGATGGGAGTTGCAAATGGGCAGCTTTATATGGGGATCAGGCCCCAGGACTGCAGAAAAGAAACAAGAATAGTTGTTGCAATGCTCAAATCCCTACTGTAATGTTAATTAAAGTATAATAAAGATCACACACGTTCTGTCACCGAAAGCTTCAGCATGTAATTATTCAAAGTAGCACTGACAACAGATAGCCTTGCAAAATACTAAGTAGATACACTTTGAAAAAAATTAAACATGCACTATCTTTCAAATTGCTAAAAAGTCTTATATTTTGTCATCTAATGAATCTTCTCTTGCTGTTTCTTATAAAATTAATACTGAGACCTTTTCTATAATATTTATGGTTACATATACATTTCATAACAAAAATTGTATCATATAAATATTTCTCACAGAAGCTGCAGAGATGGTGTGAGCAAAAAACTCCCTTCTGGGATTTTAGTAAAAGCAGATCTCACAAAGGATCTGGAAAGAAGAAAAGAACAACCTTATATTAATGTAGTCTCATATATTCGTGGTTATAATACTGATCTGGTCATCACAGAGAAATTTATTTATATAAGTAAAAAAAAAACAAACCAAAAAAAAAGAATGTTACAGGTTTCACGTAGTATAGAAGAAGGTATAAAATGGGATATGTGCACATACACAGACAGACAGACAGATGAAAGAGATGTAAAAATCAGGATTCAAGGATGCAGCACAATTTTAACACATTAGCTGATGATTCTGAATGCTGGAGGTACTCCCTGCAGCAAGCATCCTTCTGTATGCACTGAAAACACCACACATCCTAGTTAATTTTAAATCATAAATTAAATAACCAAATGCTTACAGCCCTTACAGTGAGATAACATCAGGCGGAACGCTGCGAGGAATAGATCTGGCATTTTCACATAAAGCATTATCTTTGGTACAAGTACACCAGGCAGGACATTTTGGCTTCACTGGTTTCTTCCCTTCAGTCAGCAAAAGCACAGATAAAAGGCATAAGAAATAAGCAATTCTTCTACAGGGTCTGCTGGCATTTCCCATTCTTTTGATCCGCTCTCGTTCCAGCCAGTTGAAAGAATATCCCAAAACATGAACAGGGGTTCTTTATTCAGCCATTGGATGTCTTTCTGGAAGTCCAGGTCAATATTTGTCTCTGCTTTCCCAACCCTTTTCTTTCTCTTTCACTCTGTTTTTGTAGACAGAAACCTGCAGCTGATCTGTATGTTTCCACTCACTCAGGCAACGTACTGCTCAGAGAAGAGACCTGCGAGGTGCTGTAAGATGGGGAAAATCCAACCGGCTGAAGGGAAAAAAAAAAAAAAAAAGAAAAAAAAAAAAAAGACTTGCATCACCACAAAAACACTGAGCGCAACACAGCATTAGATTGCAAAGTGATGTAACTGAGAAATACACTGCTTTCTGTTTTCACAGGGAGGCCCTTTCCCTGTTACCAAAAATAGTACAGCATTATGTTTTGCTGGTGGGTGGGTGAGTGGGTGTGGGGTGGAGTGTATGTGTGTGTGGGGAGAAATCAGTCATCTCTTACTGGATCCCTACAACCTAGTGAACCTTTGAGAATTATGCTTCGCATATTGCAAGCAGCAGAACTAACGGCAGTATCCACAGGAAAATGAAATCGAGTGAAACCATCAAAAGCATTGCTGCAAAAGCTGTTAGATTAATTTTTATCCTTAGCCCTTATTACACATATTTGTACCACTGAAAAACAAAACAAGCTGCCACACATGGAAAATATTACAATGTATGAGAGAATGCCTACAACTGTCATTCCTAAACAAAATATTTTCTCATGCAAAATAGAACCCAACTGCTTTGTGTTTGGTTTTTTTTAGAAAAAGAACGATTCTTATTTGTTACATGTTTTCTGATCTGGTTAAATAAAGTGAATCAAGCACTGTTCAAAATGGACAACATTAATTAAGAGTTCAAGTTAAACAATTTATTTGCTTGCAGACTAGTTTGGTCATTTTAGATGGAAAAAAGAAAATTGTTATTTAAACACCAGCTATGTTAAACCTGTAGTTACGAATGGACCTTCTTTGAAAAGTGACAGGGTAGGGACAGATCTTGATGGTAATAATGAATCTTTACAATACTGCCTGGAGGCTGCAATTGAAATTAGTGCTAGGTGCAGTATGAATACTCTGTAAGAAACAGTCCTCAGCCTGAAGACTTTACAGTAAACTACATTAAATATTTTATAGGGAACTTAAGCAGTACATAAGTGTTATTATATAAAGAACAGTAAGACAAAACTAATGAATGCTAAATAGCTGTAAAGCCATATGGGATGATTTTATTTTTTCCGATATAGGATTGTTATTAGAAGAGTTCTGCAAACTTTAATAGGTCTTGACAGTTCCCCGTCAGACTGGCAGCGCTGTTTGCGTTACACAGATCACAAAGTCTACTAGGGTCGACCCGACGGTATGGCAGTTTAATACAGTCATGCTCACTATTGGCTCCTTCACGTAGGTGCTGTCTCCTCACCAGGAGACACCTGTAAGCCAGAAGATCTCCCTTCACTGCCGGTTACTCCTCCTTTGATTCCACATGGCCACCTGGCTCTGGCCCATTGCTCCTGCTCTACAGGCCATGAAATCTCAAGACCAACACCAGGCCATGTGTGTCTTCCTCAGGAACGACACCAGCAAGGCCCACCGCATACCCAGATATGGGTGCCCAGTGGGAATTTCAGATGCTACGCATGGAAGATGGCAAAGGTGGACAACAGCCTGCAAAACTGCAAGAAACTCGGCGTGCGGGCACTAGGCAGGACCCCAACATCACTGAGTCCTTGCCTGGGCGGTGGCTGAGGTCTGTCTCCCTGGATTGAGAGGAGTCCAGCAGAGCTCACACCCGGTGGTGGGACTGCATCCTCTGAGGGATTGGGGATGGCGAGAAATGGCCAGAAAGCTTTCAGAGGCAGAGGACTGCCACCGAAGGCCCTGCTGGGAGAGGGCTCCGGTGCCTGTGCATTGGCATGCTCCCCACCTGGCACCCGTGCCTGTGGAAAAGGGCAGCTTGCGCTTTCTCAGCTCCCTCGCTCTCTGCGGTGTGTTTTTTTTAAAGCTCTTTATTAATTTAAGTGCGGGCCCATGTTTTTGCTCATAAGGAAATCTTCCCTGTCAGCAGTCTCTCCTGAAGCAGGATTGACTTCAACTAGGAATGACACAGAGCTGCGTTATTTCTGAATCCTTCCACCTTCTGTAGGAAAATGGTACAGAATTACAGTAACCAAAGCACTGAAATCATTATAAAGCAAATGTTGATGCCTTCCCCTGGGTATAAAGGTTACTTCTTGCTCTGGAAATGATCTAATTGTACGACTGAGAAGGGAGCTGGATTTGTGGGACTTGCATAAGTAGGGTACACTATCTTCTCCCCTCTGAGATGTCCAAAAGCACAGACTTTGGTGAGGTGAGAACAGAAAATTCTCTAACTTTTTGCTGAAAGAGAAGAGGCCTGTTGTTGTTTGTTTGTTTATTCCTGGCAAAGCTACCCATTGCCATGGCAATATTTTGCCATTGATGGTGTAACCCCATGTTTCATTTCCTTCAGCTCATTCACTGAAATCCACCATTAATTACTTAGGCATTTCTTTTTAGTTAATACTCCAGCCATATTGTGAACCTCCTGAAAACTTTGCAGCGTAGCGGTTTTGCAGTAACAAAAGCACATTCTGCAGCAGGGCAGTAACGTGACTCCGGTTTTGTCCGTGCAGAGAACCGTCTGGAAGTTAGTCTTCTATTCCAAACTACATGCCAAAACAACCGCTTTTCCCAAAATTGCAAATATTATGAATATTTATAACAGCTCTGTCAAAAGAGAGGCATAAATCACATTTTCCAGGGCCCTTTCATGCCAAGCTCAGTATCTTGTTTCTTGCCATGTAGTAGTTCAAAAACAAATTGGTTCGTGGATTTTCAGTGGCATAGCTGCTCTCCAGTCATTGCAACATTTGGCTCACCCTTTACCTATGCCACCACTGTTTGTTTTCTGGCTAACGGAGCGGGCGATTGCCTGCTGCGCCCACATCCGAGCGCCTGCCTCTAGGTGATCGAGAGCTTGTTTTTGCTGGCGTTTCAGGTGCCGATCGGGCACAATGCGATTCAAAATTTATTTAGTTTTCTTTCAGCGGGAGGGCTCGCGTTACTCGCTCTGCTTCCCGTCGTTCGACAACATTTTAGCTGAAAAACCTCCACCTTGCCGTGCAACGGAGGTGCTCGCCGGCCATGTTCCAGTACGGGCAGGGATGTACTGTGCTTCGGGCTGCCGCTGCGGCCGCGCTTCGGTACC